CAACAAAGATTTTACTATATAACATTTGAAGATATTGTTTAGAAATAAGACTATGGGAGCTAAAGTTCCACTTGCGCTACCACTAAAGATAGATTTATTGGAGTAAAAGCTTGTCTATGTGGAACTAGAAGAGGGTAATAGACTAAAGCTGAGAGTCTATGTTGATAACGAAGTGTTTTGTGAATTATACCAACCATAGAAAGATACCTTAGTAAGGATGAACATCTATCTTATCATTAAATATAACACTATTTTAAAGACAAACATTACAACACAATCATAATCGTTGCACATAAGCTAACAGAATAATATCAATCTCAAAGCAATACATCACATATGCATATATTCCATCATAAGTCATTATATTCCTCTCTTTCATATATGTACTTCCAGTGCACTGTGATCATAGATATACAATGCCTCCAGCAGTTCTTGAGGTCTTACACAACTAGGTAAATACTCGCCGGTTAGCCCATGTATACAGATACAATGTATACAATAATGGGCCCCTTAGAAAAGGTATAGTCAAGAGTCTAGTTAGGAAACAAGTTTGAGGTCATATGGTGCATTCGCTCTCAGAAAGAGTGTGTACACATGCGCGAATGTCGTTCACCACCCTAGGTTTTCTCCTAATTTTCCATCGTCTCTAGACTCTATACTCTAAGTGTATCTTTGTAACTATTCACACTAGATCCATTCATCTTGTTACACTCATCCTATACTCTTTTTCGTACCAATCTCATCACTCAGGTAAAAGAGCGTGCTTAGTAAAACACTTCCAGACTAAGTTCCAAACACATATATCACCTGAATATATCATTAACACCCAAAATCAATGAAACATACTTTTACAACAATCCAATATCATTGAATCATAAAAATCATACAAGTAAACATACAAAAAGTACTCTCATAGGTACAAAATATTTATTATGCTTAAAATGGTAAAATAGAGCCCTCTTTATCTTAAAAAGAAGTTTTGAAGGAAGGTTTATGGGGATTTTTCATGAAAGGTCCTAGCTTTTCCTAGATATTACAAAAGAGAGTATTTTGAGAAGGGAGAGATATAGGAAACAAACAAAATAAGAGAACTAAGCTCCATGAACTTACTTGGAGTTGATTGGATGAACTTATAAGTCTGGATTCAGAGGAAAGTCGAAGTTTAGTGAAAATTTTTTAGAAAAGAGGGTTAGAGAGCACAGAGAACAGGGGAGAAGTCAAAAAATTGGATTGTAATCCAAGTTTTCTAAGTTGAAAACCCTTAAATACCCATTAACTCGCGATATTCTCACCACAGGGAGCTATCTCTCACTACAGCAAGCCTTTCTCTTGCTGTAGTGAAAAAATTAGCCAAAATTTTTCTTTGTTATCTTTCATTCTACTTACAGCGAGAGCATCCTCGCTCCAGCAAGAGAGCGTCAAAGAGCCTGATTCCATACACTCTTTCTTGCTATAGCGAGATATTCTGTAGCTTACACCATTTAAACTCTCCAAAATTTAATTAATTTTATAAATACAACCAACATTCAATATTACAATAATAAATATAAAAACAAGGATGTTACACATACAGTTATACGTAATAGGATAAACACTAATCATGAACGGAAATTATACTTAGATTCAAATGTTAAAATCTCACAAATTTATGAACAAGAATTCCCATAGCCCTAGCTATTGACTTAGTTATTCATGCTAAAGAAAGGAACTAAAACAATCATAAACAAAGTCATAGTAAAAAAGAAATAGCAATCTAGAATGACCCTAAGAATTACAAATGAGATGAGTTCTCGGTCTTCAAGTATGATCGCTCAAAGCTCTAAGTTCCACCAAGAATATGATGAAAGAGATGACTCAGAGGCGTGGAATGTAACACCCCAATTTTTGTAATTTTAATTATATATATGTATGAATGCATGTTGGAAAGTGCACTTGAGTGCGTGATGAGTTGATGTCAATGTGATAGTGATGAATATTGAATGGTGACATATATGTGTATGTATGATACATGTGGATGCTGATTGTGCATCGAGATTGATCATATTGAACTGTTTGAAAAAGGTTGAGTGTATGGTACAGGGTGTTCTCGCTGTAGCGAGAGGGCTTTGGGAGGAAGGCGTGAAACTATCGCCTTCTTGCTGCAACGAAAGGTCCTTCACTGCAAGAAGAGAGCGGCAATGAGGAGTGCATTTCTAGGTGCAGTCTCACTGTAGTGAGATTTTACAGAAACCAGAGTGCAGTTTCCTCTGAGATTTTCGCTGTAGCGAGAAAGGGTGTCATTGCAGCAAAGTCCATATCTCGCTGTAGCGAGAGTGTCACAACTAAAAGGGTACTTAAGGGGTTAGGGTTTGAGAGAATGGATTATTTTACATCTCTCTTTCCCTCCCTTTGCGATTCTCTCAATCCTAAACTGTATTTCACCGATTAAATTGCCTCCAAAGCTATTTAGGAGTAAGATTGAAGGTTGGATTTATGTTTGGGGCGTTAGGAGGTAAGTTTCATGGCTAGGGTTTTGGTTTCTCAACCCCATTCTTTATTTTCTCAGTTTTCCTTGGTTCTTATAGGATTCTTCTGTGTAATTAAGATGAAGTTCGTACGGGAAGTCTTTTCCATTGTTGATTTGTATATGGGTTTTCAATTTGAGGTTAGGGGATACTCTACCCTATCTCCCATGTCTTTAAATCCGTTGTTTGGCTATGTATTGTAATGTGGATGATTTTGAATGCGAGTGTTTAATAGAATTGATTGATTGTAGTGAGATTATGGTGGAAAGATTGAATAGAGTATAGTGTAATGAATGTTAAATAGTGTGTATGATGCAATAAATTAATGAATGTGAATTATGTGAAAAATGTTGTGCATGGAATTATTATGCGTTAAATGTAATGTGAATAAATATGGGCATCTACGCCACGTAATGTGAATGAATGTGGGCATGTGTGCCGTGTATGAATATGAATGTTGTATATGGCTAAAAATGTGTGTGTAAAGGCATGTTAAATGCGGTTGTAAATATGCTATGAATGGTTTAGTGATACACTGGAGATGTGGAAGATGGGGACGGTAGAAATACCTTGGGGAAAAGAGAGTGGTGGCGACACCAACAATGAGCGTGGGTGCACTATAGGCTACATACTCTTCTCTTGACTAGACCTCTAACTAACACCTTTGTCGAGCGACTCGTGACCGCACATGTGGTATCTGTGAGGCAGGAGTAACCGGCAACCATCCATGGTGTGAAACTGTGATCACAGTGACACAGTAAGCATGGTTACGTGCAGTGAGTGCACGTGTGTGAAATGTTGTTGGTGCAGTGAGCGCATCAGTTATAATTTGAAATGGAATGTATGATGAGTGTTTTCATGATACTTGAGTAGAATATGTTAGAATACATGTGGGTGAGGAAGGTGAGTCTCTATGTTTGTGTGTGTGTGTTGGATATAGTAAAGTACTCACCCTTACATTTATTTTTCAGGTGACCAAGACGATCAGCACTGCGCTCAGTAAAGAGATGGATGAAACTGCTACAGGACTAGAAATTTATTCGAACTCTGATGTAATTGAATTAGTCTTATAGCAATGATTTGATGCAAGTTGTAATCCATCCTTATTTCGAAATATTTTAATGAATTATGCATGGAAAACCATTTTGAATGAAATTCTATTTCTTCCATTTTGTGAAATTTGTTATTTGAAATTAAATTTAAGGTGTTACAATTTTGGTATCAGAGCAGTTCATCCAAACTGGACTGGGATATCAGGCTGAAGTATCCAAGTTGTGTGTTGAAATGTTTTGATCACTTGATTTATAAATGTTGTTATTCATCTAACTAGTTCAGTATGGTTTGTTGAATTGCTTGCTAGCTTAGATTAGAATGACTAGTAGAGGTAGAGTAGCTAAAGGCACTAATGATCTCATGGAGCGTATGGCTCAAATTCTGGAGGCCTTGGTGCATAACTAAGGTAGAAAGTTGGCCGAGTACTGAGGGTTATCTCCCTTCACTAGGCATAATCCTCCAAAGTTTGAGGGCAGATTTAACCTTGAGGGAGCTTAGAGGTGGTTGGCGGATGAAGAGAAGGTTTTCAATGCAATAGAGTGCCTTGAGGAGCACAAGGTTTTCCTAGGGAATTACTTTCCCTGGAATCTGAAGAAGCAGAAGGCCAGAGAATTGCTTGAACTGAAGCAAGGGAATATGACTGTGGGGGAGTATGTGGCTAAGTTCCAAGAGTTGATGGTACTGGCCTCACTACCAATAGAGGATGGAGATGAGGACTTGTGTGCTCAGTTTGATCCGGGATTGAGGTTAGATATTCAAGCTGCAGTTAGTGTGTTCTAGCTGACGCAGACTTGCCCACTCTGGTGAGCAAGAGCAGAATCTTTGACGCCAATTCCAAGGGTAAGACAGTGGATAGTAGGGGGACCAGTCCAGTGAGGAAAGATAGAAGACCCCCTAAGTTCTCTAACGGGCTCCAGCCACTCACGGTCCAGAGGAAGTTCATCTCAAGAGAAGAGTAGTGGGAGCGGCTTGGGATTGGGCTCTTTCAGAGGGCTGATCAAGTGCTTCAGGTGTGGAGGGCCACACATAGTGAGGGACTGTCCCTAGCCACGGATAACTTGTAGCAATTGTGGGAAGTCGGGACACACTACCAATGTGTGCTGGGCCGCTAAGAGGAGTGACAGTGCTAGTACAACTTAGAGGCCTGAGTCGAAAGGAAGCATGAAGCCGAGCACGAGGCCGAAACCGAGTATTCCTGGGAGAGTCTTTGCCATGAGTGGAGCAGAGACTTCATAGTCTGTAGAGCTGATCAAAGGTAAATGTGTTATTAAGGGTAGATTACTTGATGTATTGTTTGACTCGGGTGCTACGCACTCTTTTGTATCCATTGATTGTGTGAAGAGTCTGAATTTGTGTGTGACTGAATTGCTATGTAATGTTGTGGTGACTACCCCAATAGGTAAGCCGATTGTAACATCATAGGTGTGTTTGGGGTGTTCGATAATGGTGCATGGTAGGGAGTTTGAGGTGAACTTGATCTATTTACCTCTTTCTCAATTAGACGTAATCTTGGGGATGGATTGGCTAGCTGGCAACCATGTGCTATTGGACTGTAGAGAGAAGACTTTGATTTTTGGAGCATCGATGTTAAAAATTCTGAGGCTTTTGAGTCAGAGTGCTTGGGAGAATACAGTGAATGCTAAGGCCTTTATGGTCATGTTCTCAATGGAGGCCGAAAGCGTGGTGGAGACAGAGTATATCCCGGTGGTGAGGGACTTCTTGGAAGTTTTTCCTAAAGATGTTTATGAGTTACTACCTGAGAGGGAAATAGAATTTACTATTGACCTCATTCCAGGAACAAACCCAATTTCTGTGGCACCATACAGGATGTTACCAGTGGAGTTGGCAGAGGTCAAGAAGCAAGTAGAGGACTTGTTACAAAAACGGTTGGTAAGACCGAGTGTCACCATAGGGAGCACTAGTGCTCTTGGTGAAGAAGAAGGATGAAAGCATGAGGATGTGTGGACTACCGACAGCTGAACAAGGTGACAATAAGGAACAAGTATCCACTCTCGAGGATTGACGATTTGATGGACTAGTTGAGAGGAGCTGCAGTGTTCTCTAAGCATGACCTGAGGTCGGGGTACCATCAGATCATGGTGAAGGATGAGGATGTGATAAGTCTGTAATTAGGCCCTCTTTTGCAGCCCATATATTCATATTTGACCTTTATTTTATTTGGGTTTTACATTAATTTATATATTAATTATGCATTTTGGTATAAACAGGCCGTAAGTGGATTTTGAGTGCATTCTGGGTCGAAATTGATGGAAGATTAGAGCTTCGTAGCAATCAGCATGTCCAAACCCATTCAATAAGCACGAGGGTGCTTCGAGCCCATGCACGGTCGTGCTTAAGGCCTTGCACGGCCGTGCTCATCTACGAGAAGCCCAATTATGAAGAATCTTTAGGGTTTTCAAATCCTATTAAAAGGAGGTCTCAGGCATCGTAAAAAGGGACAGTTTTACATCTTGGCTTTGGCTCTAGAATACATCTGATCTCGTCTCTCTTGCACGGGATTCTTGGCACATGCTTGGCGACACTTGGAGCTTTAAGTGATTGTACTTGAAGACCGAGAACACATCTCACACTCTAGTTTGCTACTTCTTTTGATTATGGCTTTGTTTATGATTGTTTCAGTTCTTTTCTTTAGCATGAGTAACTAAGTCCATAGCTAGGGCTATGGGAGCTATTGTTCATGAATTTATGGAATTTTGATGTTTGAATCTAAATTTGATTTCCTTTTTGTGATTAGATTTTATCCTATTGCGCTTCTTTCTTAATTCTAATTAATTATATCGTCAGGTGACCGTACCTCGGTTAATTAATAGATCTATAGGGTAAAACGAGACAAAGGATTAAGTGGACCAAACCAATCTTTCTCTTCTAATCGTTATTAAATTAACAAGTTCGTAGGCTCCTAAAGTTTTCTTAAATTAATGTCTTATATAACCATTGGGGATGTTAATTTAGAGAAAAGAATATTAATATTGCATGACCATTAGATATTAATAGTATTCGTATGAATGATTGGTAATCACAAGGAAATTGGATTTAGAGTTAAACAGAAAAATAACATAAAGGATTGAATGAGAAAACCCATATGCCCTAGGTTCTTCTCTAATAAGTTTAACCAAGACGTGCATTGTATTCCTTGCTCTTAGTTTTATAATTGATTTTATAAATTCTTGATTTTTAATCTTGTATCTTTGAAGCTTAAACAATTGAATTAGGAAATTCTTAGTAATTGGAAAACAATCCTTGTGGGACGTTATTTCGGGAACTTAATTTAAGAACCCTTTATTACTTCTCGATGGGTACACTTGCCCTCCGAACAAGTTTTTGGCGCCGTTGCTGGGAATTGCTTTTTCAATATTAAGAAAATCTCAAATTTAATTGATTTAAGCAATTTGTGTTTTATTTTATTTTGTTTTGTTTATTGTTAAATTTTTTTTATAATTTTTCTATTTATTTTATTTTAATTTTTTTTATTTCACAATTTCTTTTAATGTGTGCTCACTCGTTCTAAGTGCTCTTCAACTTGTTTATTTGATCCGGATATTGAAAGAACATTTTGTAGACAAAGAAAAGAAGGGAGAGAGTAAAGAATGGCAGAGGGAAGGAGATCAATTCAAGATTACATGACACTCACTGCTAGAGGCACTCTTGGAAGAATTGCGGCACATAATGTGCAGGCCAACAATTTTGAATTGAAATCAACACTCATAACCATGGTCTAGAACTCGATACAGTTTGGAGGCATGCCTAATGAAGACCCCAATTTACATCTGACAAAGTTCCTCTGATTGACAGATACCATAAAATACAATGGAGTCTCTAACGATGCTATTCGACTCCGTCTTTTCCCATTTTCGGTATTTGAAAAGGTAAATGCTTGGTTCGCCTCACTCCCAACCAATTCCATCACAACTTGGGAGGATCTCACTCAACAATTCTTGGGAAAGTACTTTCCCCCTTCAAGGTCCTCTAAGCTTATGACGGAGATATTTTGCTTCCAAAAATATGAAGCAGAATCCTTATTCGAAGCATGGGAGCGATTTTGAGAGCTTTTGAGGAGATGTCCTTATCATGATTTTCTGACGTAGAGAGAGGTGCAAATATTTTATAGTGGCCTGTCAATCACTACCAGGGCTATTGATGCTGCAGCAGGAAGATCCCTCATAAGAAAAGATCCAGATGATGCATACAAACTAATAGATGAGATGACATCTTCTAGCTTTCAGTGGCACACCGCTGACTCTTACGACATCAAGAGGAAAGAGACCGCTCCGGTCTACCAAGTAGAGAGCAGCAGCCCACTAATGAAACAAATGGCAGCCCTTGCAAAGCAACTAGAATCTTTAATGAAGGCTCAAGACCAACTGTAAGAGCTCCTGCAAGCCCAGAATTTAAGCAAGAGAAAGCAAACTTCATGGGCAATCACAGTTCAGGGTGGAGGCACTACCTATATGGAGCAAGGTTTGAAGTGTTCAGTGATCACAAAAACTTGAAATACCTGTTTGATCAGAGAGAATTGAATATGCGATAGAGAAAATGGATGGAATTCCTCAAGGATTATGATTTCACATTGTCTTACCATCCTGGTAAGGCAAACGTGGTGGCTGATGCATTGAGTAAGAAATCATTGCATGTGGCAGCAATGATGGTAAAAGAGATGGAGCTGACTGAGGAATTTTGGGACATGAACTTGGCCATGGAAGTGAGGCCAAAAAGTTTGTATCGCGGGGCGACAACGATTCATAATGACTTCTTGGTATACGTCCGAGATGCTCAGCAGGGAGATACCTTCCTGCAAGACATGATGAGGAAAAAGGGTGAGGGAAAGGATTTGGAGTTCCATTGTGATGAGAACAGGGTAATTAAGTTTTAGAACCGAGTGTGCATTCCCCAAGTGGATGAGTTGAAGCAAATGATACTTGAGGAAGCACATAAGAGTAGGATGAGCTTTCACACCGGCATGACCAAAATGTATCAAAACCTCTAGAAGAGGTTTTGGTGGAATAAGATGAAGAGGGACGTGGCCAAATATGTGGCCAGTTGCCTAACCTGCCAAAAGGCGAAGGTATGGCACCAGCGTCCATCTAGGTTGTTGCAACCGTTGGAAATCCCTAAGTAGAAATGGGACAATATCGCCATAGACTTTGTTTCTAGGCTGCCGAGGACCAGGAACAACCATGATGCCATTTGGGTGATAGTGGATCGGTTGACTAAGGCTGCACACTTTCTCCTAATCAATATGAAGTATAAGTTAGAGAGACTCGTGGACTTGTATGTAAGGAGATTGTCAAGCTACATGGAGTGTCGACTAGTGTGGTGTCCAATAGAGACCCGAGGTTTACCTCAAAGTTTTAGGAGAGCCTATAGAAGGCATTGGGTACTAAGTTGAGGCTTAGTTTGGCTTATCACCCACAGACTGACAGTCAGACCGAGCGAACTATCCAATACCTAGAGGACTTATTAAGAGCTTATGTGCTTAAGCAGGAGGGAATTTGGGAAGAATGCCTGCTGCTACTGGAGTTCAAGTACAACAACAGTTATCACGCCAGCATTGGGATGGCACCATTTGAGGCTTTGTATGGGCAGAGGTGCAGGACTCCATTATGTTGGTATGAAACTGGAGAGGCTGCTCTGTGTGCGCCAGATATAATCCAAAAGCATAATGAACAGATCAGAATGATCAGAGAGAAGATGAACACTACCCAAGATCGGCAGAAAAACTACTATGATAGGAGAAGGAAGCCTTTGGAGTTCCAGGTGGGTGACCATATGTTTCTAAAGGTCTCATCTGTGATCGAAGTTGGGAGAGTTCTAAAATCTCGGAAGCTATCTTCTAAGTTCATTGGACCATTCAAAGTACTGAGTAGGATTGGTCTTGCAGCATACCAGATAGCATTACCTCTGAATCTCTCGAATCTACATCTGGTGTTCCATGTGTCACAACTCAGGAAGTATGTGCCCGATCCTTCCTATGTGATTGATCTTGACCCAGTTCAAGTGAGAGAAGACTTATCTTATGGTGTGTATCCAGTGAGGATAGCGGATCACTGTGTTAAACAATTGAAGGGCAAGGAGATCTTATTGGTGAAGGTAATATAGAGCTCAAGTGATAAGGGAGATGTTACATGGAAAACAGAGAGTAGAATGAGAGAGTTATATCTGTAATTGTTTGTGTAACTTGTGTGTTTGGTTGACTTTCAGGAAAGAAACAACCTAAAGGAGGGAAGAGTTGTAACACCCTAAATTTATGTAATATATATATATATACATGTATGTATGAATGCATGTTGGAATGTGCACTTGAGTGCATGATGAGTTAATATGAATGTGATAGTGATGAATATTGAATGGTGACATATATGTGTATGTATGATACACGTGGATGCTGATTGTGCATCAAAATTGATCATATTGGACTATTTGAAATAGGTTGAGTGTATGCTATAGGGTGTTCTTGCTGTAGCGAGAGGGCCCTAGGAGGAAGGCGGGAAATTGTCGCCTTCTCACTGTAGCGAGAGGTCCCTCGCTGCAATGAGAGAGCGACAATGAGGGGGGCATTTTTTAGGTGCAGTCTCGCTGTAGCAAGATTTTGCAAAAATCAGAGTGTAGTTTTCTCTGAGATTTTCGCTGTAGCGAGAGATAATGTCGCTGCAGCGAGGTCCATATCTCATTGTAGCGAGAGTGTCGTGACCAGAGGGATACTTGAAGGTTAGGGTTTGAGAGAATGGATTATTTTACATCCCTCTTTCTTTCCCTTCGCGATTCTCTCAATCTCAAGCCCTATTTCACCGATTAAATTTCCTCCAAAGTCATTTGGGAGTAAGATTGAAGGTTGGATTCACGTTTGGGGCGTTTTGAGGTATGTTTTCATGGCTAGGGTTTTGGTTTCTCTATCCTATTCTCTATTTTCTTGGTTTTCCTTAGTTTTC